CACCATTTTTTAAAAATAGATGAATCCCATGCATGAATTACTTTTTACTAAGCCAAAACACTGCAACGTTCAAAAGGTTAATGATGATACTTTACAGGAGCTTTTAGAAAAGTGGGTTGCCATCTCGCTTCCCGCGTCTTTTTACACCAGCACTGGAAGAGGGGGACGATACAACACATCATGAGGGCTGTATGTCGTGCAATGTGCATGAGCGTGAATACAGGTACATGCTCGTGTGTGCGAGTACACGGGTACGTTTGTACGTTTGTGTGTGCGCATGCACTATCCTGACGTGTGTGTGTGTGTGTGTGTGTGTGTGTGTGTGTGTGTGTGTGTGGGTGTGTGTGTGAGTGTGTGTGTGTTCTTGTTCATTATCACTCTGCAAAAGAGAATTGTCAATGTTTACCGCAATTCTTATACCACGAGCACATTGTTCAATCGTATTAAAACTTCTTCAAAATAACAGAGGATGCCACTACCTTTGTCCTTTGATAGCAAAAATTGGTACAAACACTGTTTATTATATAACCGGGTATGTCGCTTAAAAAAGCATATTATCTATTTTTAAAAGCAGTGTGAGATAAAACTGTTTTCCCACGTTAATTCTGTGCTTTGGTGTGCTTGTTCTACGCAAAGATCTATTTCAACGCTACTTTCACATTCTTAGTTCAGTTGTTCTACATTTTACAACTAGACTGATGAAGCGATACCTCTTTCCAGCCCAGTTTATGAATCATTTATCAGTTCACAAGTTTCCGTTTGGTAACCAAAGGTAGTAGGCAGGTTGACGCTCAGTTTAATTGTATTTATCTCTTTGTATTTTCTCTTTTTTTGTTCAACTTAGTCTCTAGATGAAAAGTGGTCGTCATAAAAAAACAAAATGAACTACATAACAAAGAGGGAGTCAGAGATGTCTTTTTGTCTAGATTCTTTTTTTTTATCATTATCGTTCCCTTCATTGGATTCTCCACAATTGTTGGTTTGCGAGTGTTCTAGTGTGGCTTGCTCCTTTTTTCCTATCAAACATCTATCGTCTTTATCTCCACTCCTTCTCTTTTGTGTTTGTTACTCCCTTGTAACATCTCTAATCTTCGGCTCTTATATGACCTTATTGTGTTGCAAGTGCCGTAGAACTCTTACTAAACTAAACTAATCTCCACAATTTGTAAAGAGTAATAGCTTATGGAGCTTCACATTAAAATTTTATGTTTGTTTGTTGTTGTTGTTGTTGTTTGTTTGTTGTTTTTTTATGTGGGGGGGGGGCAGGGTAAAGTAAAATAATTTTAACTCTGTTGTCTTCGCTCGTCATGACGACCCCAAACCCATGTTTGCTGTACCTGAAAATCCGCTGTGACCCTCACAGTGACCCCAGATGGTGCACACAAGGTCAGGTGGTTCACAATTGGGGGGGGTAATATATTACTGTCAAACTTTTTATACCTCCTTAAATTAGCTTACCTCGACTTGGCGGTAAGCACCCACCACCATTGGTATAATAAAGATGATATTAATGCTGATAATTTCAGTCGCGTCCACTCCTGTATAACGAAGCTTTAGCTGCTTTACAATTCTTTAATCTTAACACAAAGTACAAGTGGTTGAAAGTGCATACACAGTACGCTCTTCAGATTAAAACTAATACATAAGCGAATTAAAACGATACCAGACCATAGCCAAGAGGTGTTTGAAGGAAGTCTGTGGGGCCAGAGAGCCTGGGGAAGACAAAATGCAACATGGATGGACAACATTAAAACATGGACTGGCTTAGGTATAGCAGAATTTGCAACAGTAGCTCGCGACCGTGAAGGGTGGAGGGTCATTACACGTCAAACTCTGGATATTCCAGGTAATGACAGGCATTCATACTATCACAGCACAGCCGATGACCATATACATAGCAGGCCTACTTTGTGAACAAAAGAGAGCACAATTATATTTCTCAACAACACTGTCCACAGATGACGGTGAGTGGACTTGTAGAACCAGTGAAGATCGTGGTACCGCTGGATGCCAATATGCCGAAGCCCTCGTACATTGAGATGGATCCCATCATCTCAAAGTGGACCAACCTGATGCTTCTAGTGGCTAACATCAACCGTTCACAGTCTGCTATACATCTCGATTTCAAGGTATGTCTGTTTTGTGTTTCAGACCCAGGGAAAAAGATGTGGCTTCTCTGTGTGCAATTTCCTTTCTCCATGTTGCAAAAATTTATTATATGTTACGATTCGGTGCAACCAGGTGCTTTTCAGTTTTTGGGTATATGGAGCTATTTGTATCATCGTAAAACTTGTTCATTTGTGTCGCTTTTGATTTTTAAAAATGCCCATCTATCTTGTAAAAAGTCAATATATTTGCTATTGCAGGTTGTGGTCGCCAGGTGTCAAAGGCGAAACAATAATGAGGTAGAAAAATAAAAAATTGCTGACTTCCAGAGTTTGAGTATCCTTGGAAATGATGTCTATTATAAAGGAGAAAATATATACATATCTATAGATAGCTGTTGCCTTAATAAATAAATTATGCATCAAACACTGACCAATATGGCATAAATGGTAAAGAGATTTTTGATATATTTTTCCCACTTCAGGACATAGAAGGCCGACAGTTTCTGTTGGTGGTGAAAAAAGGCAAACCAGCAAAAATCGCTGTGGATCGAGCCGATGACGAATGTGATGCTGTCTATTTGGTTCCTTCATCGCTATCCAGCAGTAAGTATCTATCTATCTATCTATCTATCTATCTATCTATCTATCTATCTATCTATCTATCTGTCTGTCTGTCTGTCTGTCTGTCTGTCTGTCTATCTGTCTGTCTGCCCGTCTGTCTGTCAGTCTGTCTATCTATCGACCTATCGATCTATCTATTAATCTATTAATCTATCTATCCATCGCACTCATACATTCTCTCTCTATCTCTCTCTCTCTCTCTTTCGCACATACACACAGACATACACACACACACACACACACACACACAAGCACACATAAAAACACCTGCACAAGAAACACGCATGCACAGGGGGTGAGGCCCTTTGCCATTGTACGCAGAAAATAATACATTGTAATATGAGTACAATTAACGATAGTAGGAGTTCTTTTTTAAATATCTTATCTTTGTGCTGGGATATTGTATTTAACTCCGAATTGGCCTTGGCAGGGAGATTTGTGAGTGTGTGTGTGTGTGTGTGTGTGTGTGTGTGTGTGTGTGTGTGTGTGTGTGTCTGTGTGTGTCTGTGTACATGTGTTTATGTGTGTGTAGATGTGTGTGTGTGTGTGTTTGAGTGTGTGTGTGTGTGTGTGTGTGTGTGTGTGTGTGTGTGTGTGTGTGTTTGTTTTTGTGCTTGTGGGCGTGTGTGTGTGAGTGAGTACATTGGTTTAGATTATTCTTCAAAATATACTTTAGATCTCACTCAAAGTTAAATCAGAGGATCAGGCAAAATGGACAAAAGTGATATCTAAGGTCATTTCTGGTCGACAGGTCAATATTTAACCGAACTACATGCAGCACGTCCTTCCCTCCCCCCCCCCTCTCGACTAGCGTCTGTGGTGTAGCGGTTAGGTGCCTCGTTCATGTCGCACCGAGGAGACCCGAGTTTGTTTCGCGAGTGGGAATACATTTTTTATCTAGTATCTCAGTCTTTCTGCTGGGGTTCTGTATCCCTCCCAGTCATAGATGGAGCTGACAATAACGGAGGGAAACCCGCCTCTAAATTGTATCGATGGGGGCGTAAAAACTCCTACATTAAAACATCTCCTGAAAATGAGCACGGCTGCCTGTAGCGAAAATGACAACCTCCGCTTTGTTATAGATAAAACTGTTACACATACACACACACATACACACACACACACACACACACACACACACACACACACACACACACACACACACACGCACACACTCACACACACACCGCAGTCCGCAGAGCAGGGATTAGGCGTGTTGTCTTAACACGCAATGCCAGAGGCCCGCCTTCTAAATGATCTATTTTATCAATATGGAGGGGGATAAAACTCCTACATTGATTTAAAAAAAAAATCTCTTCCCGCTTTCTGTCACAGCGGACCCAGACAGATACCGCTTCTACCTGTCTAACAATCAACTCGGAAACTTCGTTGGCCAGTTGTCCATCGGCATGCGGGAACTCAACACCACGGAGTATGGCATGGACATCAGCGCTGGATGTGCCTCCCTGCCACGGTATGAGAACGGCTCGGATTACTTCCAGGGCAACTTCTCGCTTAGGCAGTACGTGACGCAGTGTCTGGCCATCAGTGACTCAGCCAATGATTGGTCCACTGACGGATGCGAGGTACGCGATCCGCGCTCTAAGTTTCTTTCTTTCTTTGTTTCTTTGTTTCTTTTTTTTCTGTCTCTTTTTTCTGTCTTTCTTTCTTGGTTTTAAAAAAAAAGTTTTTTTTCTGTCTTTTGAATTCTCTCTTTCTTTCTTCCTTCCTCCCTTTCTTTCTTCCTTTCTGATTCTTGCTTTATTTCTAATTCTTTTTGTCCTTCTTCTCTTTTTCTATTTTTTATGTATCCTTTTTCCGTACTATACGTTTCTATTGGGATGGGGCATAGTGGGAAAAGGGGGAGGTGGGTTGTCTCATAATACGATTATGTTGAAGCGCAAATGTCGTCGGTTAGTTGGTTTGTTTTTTTTGGAGCTAGGGCAACGATGTCGACCTGAACGTTATTTAAACTTAAACTGCTCCTGTTTTAGTTTGAGAGGCACGAAAAGTAAAATACTCTTTGTTGTAACGACTAACAGACGGTGGAGATACCTTTGTTTATGATGTTCGTAAAGGAGATGGAAATATTTTGTTGATGTTTCGCTGTTGATATTGCTGCTTCTTTTGCTTCTTCTTCTGTTGCTGCTGCTTCTGTTGCTGCTGCTGCTGTTGTTGCTGCTGCTGCTGCTGCTGCTGCTGCTGCTGCTGCTAGTAGTGGTTACGTGGCTTCCATGGCTATTGCTGGTGGTGATGCTTTTGCTACGGTATCTGGCACTGCTGCTGTTGTCCCACACTGGCTATTGTTTTAGAATACAGGAGTGCCAGAAGTGTTGATCAATCTTTTGAATGCCATTGTTGTTGGTATAGATTGGATTCTACTTTTTTATAATGTAAATATTGTATGCCCCTATTGACACAATTCAGACGATGTAGGAGGCATGCTGCGATCCTGCCTGATTGGACCGACCTGGGCTGAGATGGATACAAGGCCCTGCCGAAAAACAGTGAAACTCGATAAAATTTATGTCCACACGGACATCGAACGGGGGTCTTCTGTGTACGTTGGCGAAGCGCCTGACTGCTATACCAGCCATGGGTGACTTACCATCTATCTATTTCCTTACGCACCTACTCACCTATCTATCTATCTACGTACGTACGTCCCTACCCACTACCTACTTATCTACCTACCCACCTAACCACCTACCTACCTACTTACCTACTCCTCTCACAGGTCTCCAAAGAGACAAACGACTCTAACAACGTGTGTCTGTGCAATCACTTGACCACGTTCGCCGGGGGCTGGGTGGTGGTGCCCAACACAATCGACTGGAGCTACGTGTTTGCTAACGCTGACTTCTTGTCCAACCCGACCATCTACATCACAGTCATGCTCACGGCCGTCCTCTACATCACAGCTGCCATCTACGCCCGTTATAAGGACAAGAAGATGACGGAACAGGTGACCTTGGCTTTTTGATTTGATTTGTTTTGTTTTGTTGCTTTGTTTCTATTTTTAGATTTTGTTTTGTTTCTGTTTCCGTTTTCGTAGTTGTTCTTTTCTATATTTGTTTTTGTTTCGTTTTGATATTTGTTTTCTTTTTTTGTTTTGTTTCGGTTTGTTGTAGTTAAATTTCTTGTTTAATTTTTGTTTTGTTCCTTTTGTTGTTTGTTTGTCTTTTGAACGGGGGGGGGGGGGGGGGGGTAAAAACGATTCCAGAGGGCATGATTCCTTAATACGAAGAACTAGCTTCATAAAAATGAATGAAAAGCCCCCCTCTTGTACTTACTTTTAACTTCGAGGACCACTGGTCTTCTCAAATTCCCCACCATATGTGTGTGTGTGTGTGTGTGTGTGTGTGTGTGTGTGTGTGTGTGTGTTTTGAGTATTAAAACACTGGTACGATGTTATGGTTTGTTATTTCATGCTGTTTACGATGGTGAAGCACATTGTCAGTTTCTTCTATAGGATAGTACTTTATACGGGGTGCCCACTACGGCTGGATCGGGTGGTCGCCCGACTCGATCGTCTGAAACTGAAAACAAACACGTTTGTTTTTGAGGCGACCGAGTCGGGCAATCGGCCTAATCGGCCGGTCCCATCCGTAGTGGCACCCCGTATTAGATTTCAATTCCCAAGCATGTTTACTACGGTGACGATTGATTGAACGCATTTGTTAAATTGTATAATGGTGGTTAACTGGTAACAGAATTCTTTTTTTTAAATCACCCCTTTCCGCGACTCTCTTATCTTCTTGTTCTCGTACCCCTGCTAGAGCTTAGGCGGTAACTGACTTGATCACCTTCCCATACTGTAGTTGATTTTTATCTGCATAAAACGTGGAATCCTCAATTGCCTGACAGGTAGCTACTTGCCGCTTTCAAAGCTAGTCTTTATTATTTATACTAACTAAAGTGGCTTCAATTATTGGGTAGGAATTAATGTTGATTTTGCCAGGAGGGCAGCCCCGGCTCTCACATGTTTGCACTGTCTGGTTCCATCAACCAATGTTGTCTCATAGCGTTAATGTTTTGTGCAACTTTTTAAACTTCCAGCTGGGTATCGCTCCACTCGCCGACAACGACCCCAAAGACAAATATTTCTACGAGGTTTTGGTCTGCACTGGGATGAGGAGAAACGCGGGCACTAACTCGCAGGTAAGGGATATGAGTTACATAAAACAATGCTTGGAACAACGTCTACTAATTTCGTCGGTTTGTTCGTATTTGAGCACTTTATCAGCCGCTTTCATGGTGTGCTTCCCAGGAAGTTGAACATGTATCTGAGTGTTCTAGAGTCCAACTGTAGAAAAAAGCCATAACTGTTGCTTTTGTTTTAAGTTTAAATGTATTTTTGAAATCGCTAGTGAGTAAATGCCAGATGCATAATAATCATGGCTATAAGAAACGGTTAGTTTGGGGAAAACGGAGGTGGGAGGGGCACAACGTTTGTGTGGTCTTTTCCATTTTGTTCGTCTTCTTCTTTTCTGCTCCGCCTTACACAGTGCCTCTAAATTGTAACAAAAATTGCAAAGGAGGGTGGGGAGGGGGGTGAGTGGTAAGTGGCCGTTAGTCCTAGTGATTGTCTCATACAGGTGGCTTCAGACTTGTTTCTAAATAAATGAATACGTTCGATGTTCCAGGTTTGCTTTATTCTCTCGGGCGAAGACGATGAAACAGACGTCCGCGCGTTCTCTGACAGCAAGAGAAAGATCTTCAGACGTGGCCAGGTGGACGGCTTCCTTATGGCTGTACCCAGGTACCGATTTAGTTTATTGACTGTTTAGTCACTCTCATCAGTGGTCTGTCAACGTAACTGTAATGAAACGCTAACTTTTTTTTCGCATTGCCACCCCCACCCCCCCTCCCTCTATGTGTCTGTGTCTGTCTTTCATCTCTCTGTCTCCCTGTCTCTGTCTATCTCTCTCTCTGTCTCTATCTCTATCTCTCTCTCTCTCTCTCTCTCACCAACATATGCTCACACGCTGGTTCACATATGAGCATATTTCTCATTCTGACATTCTTGCGCACTTCTGAAATATGAGTATGTAACAGTATATGTTTTTATGTGTGTGTTTTAGTAGCTGTGTACATTATGTATCTGTGTGTTTGTGTGTGTGTGCGTTCACACTCGTTATGCCTTTGAGTGACCAATGAGCCTTTGGCCGTGATACGAGAGACTGGGGGGAAAGTGGCACTGTCGGAGCTTTCATCTATCTCTGGGTCACCCAGAATCATTGCATAGCAGAGGGATCCCTTACTCCATTGAATCCCTTAACTCCCCTCGAAAACCGGTTTTGAAAGCAATACAATTGTTGTCGTGATCTCATCAACATCGTGGCCCTTCTTTGCTCCTCCAAAACATTCGTTTCTTCTCTTTTGCCCGCCCC